TTAAAAAAAAATTGCTATTCCAAAAAAAAAAAAAACATGTTAAAAAAATTGAAATTTTTAAAAACTTTTTGAAATAATTGAGAACAACAAAATGTAACCCGTCATTCACAATACTTATTTTGTTCTGCCTGTGTCGCCAGAATACAATTTGATATATGACATATGATATCTGCAATAGGAGACTATGGTAAATGCACTATAATACTGTCAAAATGGCCACTATCAAACTAAAATACAACTCCTTATTTTCTGAAATTAAGCCGGTGAACCCCCAACTTTTGTTTACATTCAACACCCCTATATTGTCCAGAAATACAATTTATTTGGGGTATTTGCATTCATGAGCAGGCTTTTACTTTAAAATAATCGTCTTGCCATTTGAGTAGAATGTTTTCAAGTTGAAAAATTGATGACACACAATCAGCCTGGGTTTTCTGTCGTGTTTATTCTACTGCTCTGCAATCGACTGTTCAAAAATACTTATCTGAAAAGTGCCGAAAACTTAATTGTGTGTTCGATATTATTAAAAAAATGGCTGGAAAATGGATGTGCAACGATGAAAGTGTAACAGTGGGGTGTTTTATTAATATTTGGGAGTGTTTTTTCATGTACATTGTTATGGTCAAAGCAGCCGAAACATTGCCTCTCCTGGCTTAGATAGTTTCCTTTTATATATTTACATATATCAAAATATTCAATACAATGATTTTATCGGTTTTAACTTATTGTGCAGAAATATGGGGATTTGACGAATATCATTGTTTAGCACAAATTCAGTTTCCAGCCCACTGCAGCCGCTTGTTTGGTGTTTCTTGTAATGTTCCAAATGCTTTACTAAATACAATGTTGGCGGTTAGGTCCAAACCAGAATGGGTTTGTCAGGTAAAAAAAACTTGTCACCGTTGTGATCTTACAGATGTACATGAAAAGCAAGAAATACTAAATGCGAACGATTTTCGAGTTAAAAACTATTTTATTAGTATTTACCGAGTGGCAAAGAAAAGTTGGCACTTACTGACAAATTATCTTCGTATCAGGAGTTAAAAGTCAATTTAGAAACCAAAAAATGTTTATTTTGCGTTAAAGAATATGTTCATATTTAAGATGCTCATCACATTGGCTTTGGATTGAGAGTGGCCGTAAATTCAAAGTGGACAGGGGTGACTGCCTATGTTTACTTAGTCACGAAGCTTCTGTGGAAAATGAATATCATTTTGTTTTAGTCGGTCCTTTTTTGATACCCAGCGAAATCTATTGCAAGCTTTAATTAAATATTTTTTTAGGTAATTAGAAAGTATCGAAGGAGTCACCGGCGGTAATTAGTGCAAGTCGCGCCCAGGTCAATACTCGTACTCGTGATTTCATTAGAAGATCGTATTGTATTGTTTATCAACACACATGTCGCACATGCGCGGCGCGACGACCACTGCCCTTTAAATATTATACCTGTTTCAAGTGTCCGTGTTAAGGACTGTCAAACAGTTTGTACTTGGGGGGGGGGGGGGGCTACTTCCACATTAAGTGGGTAAGGGTGTGAAGCGCACCTCTCGAAAACCATACTCACTCACTTCTAAACCATTTTTTTTTCTATTTATATACCCACTTCTAAACACAAGTGTTTTCAGCGAAAAAAAAAACACCCAGCTCACAACTTTCGCAACCAGTGAGCGCATCCGGGCAATGCATTTTATTCAGCCTTTTCCAGTATTTGGCTTTGAATATAAGGATATCTGTGAAAAAGTAAATAAATGCTACACATTTCTAAACCAAACCATTGATAACTGGCTACCCACTTCTAAACAAAATAACGTTAAATGACACCCCAGTCGGGCGGCACATACCCGTATTGCACTTCTATGGAAGTAGCCCCCGGGAGTTTGTACAAAATACGAATTCGACATTTCATAGAGCACAACACTGTTTAATGTTTAACAGAAAATGATGTTGTAACGCTTCATGACATCATCAAGTACTTTGCATTGAACTGCCGAGAAAACACATCACGTGCCTGATCATGTGACCGCATGCCCTTGAAAAAGAAAGTTCGCATACGGAGTCGATGACCCCAAATCATTTCGTCAAGACGTGACAATACTCACTGTCTTTTGTCGAGGTATTTGTCAGCAGTTTTTTGCATATCACTAAACGTACATGCGAGCCAAGTCGCCTGGGGTCGAATCGTCAAGGTATTTCATATACGAACCAATGTTGGTCACGGTGTAACATGAATAATATGAAGACTCGCCTCCTCACCGTCTTGGTGGTGATGTGTTTAATAATGACGGTCGAGGGATTGACGCCCGATACAGTTTTGGCAATCGGGCAGCAGCAAATGATGGCAGATGTGTACCAGCCCAAACCGTATAACACCACGCAAAAATGCTTAAACGGACTAAATAGAGTGCTTTTCAATGAATCTAGTAAGATTCCAGCAGGTACGTGAATCGATCATTGTGTAGTTTAAATTACCAAGGATTTATACGATACATGTATGTAATTTTCATAACCATGTACGGTGATATGAGATGAAGATACCACGAGAAGCGAACTCTCGCGACTCGCGAACGCTTGAAAGCCACCCTTTCCGTCCGTGCGCGTTATTCAAACAGCAGTTCAAATCAATAGCGTCACGGAACGAAGTTAGTGCTTTGAAATGTGCGATTGCGTAAACAGACATAGACCAGTTTCTGTTCACAGCGAGATCCCGCGTTATGCGTTAAATCGAACATAAAAATAGGACAAACCTAGGACTGTGGACAAACAAATAGAACAGACAGAACTTTATTAATGCTCATTTAGGTGGTCCCTGGAGGTCCAATCACATGATCCGGTGCCCCTAGTTCGTCGGAGCTGGCCCGGAACAGACGGTTGCACTGTGACATTATTTGTTTACATTTTTTTCCAACTAGCAAGCGAATATCTGATAACAAAAAAATTTGCTCACTGATCATCACTAGTGCATGATCTGTTGTGATATTATTGGTTGTAAGTTGTCTTATTAACAGGAACACATACATTTCTATTTATTTACACTTTATTGTTCATTCAAATCAATATCCCAAAGTGGATTTGCATATTTGCAAAATATTATTATTATTATGTATATTTAATAACAACAGCAGTGAACAATGCTTATGTATATGCAGACAAAACGTTAACAAGTGGATGGCCTATAAATGGTTAAATGTTCCTTCAAGGCTTCTTGGACATATGCATTGTATGACCTCTGTCAAACACTGCTGCCTATTCATCATTCAGTTCTATGGTTCACTATTCACCAGTACATTCTGTGAACAGTCTGACAAAAGACCAATTTTCCATTCGCTGCGAGTTCCCACATCATGCACGAAATCAAACGTGAAAACAGGTCAAATTAAAGTTAAAGCATTGTTGAAAGTTTTGTCAAAACATGGTGCTGGATTCAACAAAAGTATTTTAAGAGTATTTCCATGCTTGATAAATGTGCTGTCCACATTTTATGATGGTCAGTTTTGATGAAGTAAGGGTATCAACAGCATATTCCCCTCAGAAAGATAGATATTCCAAAATTGAACAGCAAAGTCAAGCTCAAAATCAAATCATTTAATTTACAGGACAAGTTTCAATCCAAGGTTTTCATGAATTATGCAAGGTCAAGTTCTCCCATTTGACAACTCTTGTGTGCGGGGCGGGTGTTGAGTGATGGATATATCATAGCTAGAGAATTTAAATTGCTGTTGGTAAAAAAAAAAAAAAAATTTCCTTGGTAGATTGTCATACTCTCAGTGCAACAAATGCATTTGCTTTATCTTTATAAATATTAATAAATTTCAATGTCAGTTGAATCCAACCAGTGTACAACAACATTATTTGAAAACTTTCTAATATTATTAGATAGGCTAATAGGAACTGTATTATACTGTGGAATACTTTATTTTCACTTGGAATAAATTTGAAAATAAAATGCAGCAAATATACCTTTTTTCTTATATTTTACATTAAACAAAATTCAGTGAAAATAAATTCCATAAAAAACACCAAAAAAGTCTATTCAGCGAAAATTAAATCCAGCTGAAATAAAGTATTTTACAGTATATGAATGAAAAGAAAGCTTGTTCTTTTGTTTTGCAGTACTTGATGCATGTGGTAAACCTGGTAGTGGATTTCTTGGTGGTAACTTGGCATGGCTAGGATCATTTGAGCTTGTGTAGGGATATCGCTGGAATGCAGTATTGTTTGGTGGATATCACTGTTGTACAGACGAATACAACCGTAAGTTATCTTTTGCTAATGTATCATAACATGTTAAAATTGTCATTGCAGTAGCGTAAGCTCAAATCATGACGATGCGAATTCTCAGCATATCTAATAAGCTAATTTGCATTTTTAAATTGAATCATAGTTTCAGTTTGTTGGGCTATCAGGTATAAAAAAAACAAAAACAGCGTAGAATCCCTCACTTGAACATAAAGACGTAATAATCCTAACATGTGCAGCATAGGTTGCTGCATGTAAGAACAGACAAACGTCAAAAACACATATATGTTTGACTTTTTTATTCTGGCTTCAAGTGGCTTCTTCAGTGTTCCTTCATTCTATTGTATGACAGCACTGCAAATCAGTCATTTGCTCTGTTCTGCTTCTGCGTATGATGGGGTCAAAAAATCAATATAGCAGGTACATGTGACTTATTGTATTTGAATTGCAACTCTCCCACTTAAAAACTCATTCATTCATTCATTCATTCATTCATTCATTCATTCATTCATTCATGCATGCATTCAATGAACAAAACAATCTTAATAACAAAATATAATTCAGAAAGTGTTCCAATTCAAAAAGTATGTATCCTCACTTTTCAATTGTAGTTGTTCTCAAAACACAAAACATCACTGTTACATATGCAGTACTTAATTCTGTCAAAATTTGTTTCAGCAAAAAAAATAATGTTCCATATTCAACAATGCATCCATTTGTGATTTCAGGATATGGCTATACCAATGCCGATACGCTGGGGTCTATGTACGATTGAAGAATGCACCGAAGCTGATATAGCGTATTCCATTCAAGAAATCGTAAATGGTATTAATAGTATTTTATTGCTACAGTGCATTACATAAAAGCACGAATGTTTATTGTATTAAGATTTAGAAATTATTTATAAAACATTTACCAAAGCATACGTTTGCCACTTGGTAACACCAATTACCCATGAGTCTTTGCAGCTTTTCTTCAGAATTGGCATTTACTTCTTATAATACATTCATAAAAATATTTCATGGTATATGAAAAAAACATTCATGTCTTTATGAAATTCACTGTAGTCACTCTTGTATTTCATTAAACCATCTTCCATTTGAGATATAACTTAAACATTCTCACATTTTATAAAAGTTGGTGGATAGATCTTGCACCAAGGAAGCTGGCCTTGTTTTTAGTTTTGAACCATAGTCCATACACTACATACACATCTATTGATGTGATTATTGTAACAACTTGTTTATTTTATTAACTGTAAGTTTTGTATACATTGTAACACATATGTAAATATTTTCCTTCTCATACAATTCAGTACAGCCTTATTATTGTATTTTATCTACACAGAAATACTTGATATTCAGTGGCTACAAGTCTCGCAGTCGTCTGTCCACTGTGCAAAGGATCCACCGAAACCTTATAGCACTGGGTTCTACATCTTTATGTAAGGTTATGAAACAACCATTATGTAATTATGAGAAATTTTCGTCAGACCAGACATAAAAAACTCTTGTTCATCAGAGTTATTTTTGTGTGTGAAAACATCAGGCCAGCAAGTTGAATTTTTTTTTTTGGCCTTTTGGAATTTTTTCTGACAACAATTTTAAACGTTTATACTGATTATGAATGTCTATTGAATCATGTACACAGAAACTTTACTACAGTTATTGGAAACATTTAAACTGACAATGATCGCCAGTGAACCAGGGCTATGAACTTGAAGTCTTACAGTTTGTGCGAATCTTGCAGCTCTGGAAACAGTCAAGTATTTTTTTTAGCAAAAATCAAAAAAAATAAATAAATAACAATATATGATCTGACAGGTGCAACCTGGATTGATGAACAACAAATTTTGTTTTGTCTGGCCTCAGATGTTTTATTTTTTTAGAATAGTCTTTCATACTTCAGTCACAAACAAGTCATTAAATTTCACAAATTTACTGTTTTATTTCCCAGATCAATCTGTGTAATTCTGTGTTTGTTGATGGTATTTGGATGGGGTTTAGATGAATTTTTAAAAAGAGATTATACAGAGCCACTTTCCAGCTTACATGCAACCAAAGCAACCTACTCGTATGATGAGAATGTCAGGGAAGATTCTCCTCTGTTGCCTTCAAGCACTCCTGATGTAGCCATTGTCAAAGAAACCAATTCTATTCAATTACAGTGCAAATGGTCAGGTACGTGTTCTGTAAAATGCGTGTTCAGTCTTGTATGTGTACTGTCAAATAACTTACCGATAGTTGTCTGTTAAAAATTATACTGGTATAAAAATTTATGCTTGCAACTTTTTTTTTCATTTTAATCCTGTATGAAACGTGTGCGTTTTGGAAATTCTGCTCACGCTTTTGTTTTGCTATGTTTACACAACAACATTGTATTGAAGCCAAACTACTGCTCCTCCCACTGATTAACAGGAGATTTTCTCCAATGCATTTACACAGCCATGCCGTGAGATCTGCCAGAGTTCAATCAAGTTCGTTCAGAGCTGAACAGAACAATCACTCAAATAGTATGAAAACAATGTAGCTGGAAATGATTCTAGTGTAATGCTTGTGTTGTGTTCTTTACATGGCACCATGCATGTCAGAGCAACAGAGAAGGTCAATGCAGAATGTACTCTATGTGAAAAACAACAAGAAGACAAGCAATGATGTAGAGAATACTTATTGCCCAATGTCGCTGTCGAGCAGCTCTTATTTTTCAATCATTAGTGCTCCTTCGATCATCTACAGCTGCCCGCACAGTGTGGCAAATTAACATACAGTAGTAGTCATTGGTGGGACGATATAGGTATACATATGTGTGATTTCAGCTCAATGCGTTAACATCGTCAGAGCTTTCTCGAGACCCAAACCTAATGGAGCTCAACCCTGAGGGTTTATTGGAGCCATACTTGTTAAGTTGGCTTGAGTCAAACACGTATACACAGTAATTTTTGCTGGCTTCCATAAGGCTCTGATAAAAAGCTGTTGTGTTAACTCAGCATATGTCTGTCATCAGTCAGCTCAAGAGCTAAATCAATAAAATCAATCAATATAATCAATATAATGACAGCCAATGTCAATAGAGTAGCCAAGGTGTTAAAAATGGATTTAAAAATAGATTAAGTACTGGAAAATCAAATTTGCATATATGTTTCTTGTGCATGTTTTTTGTTTCATTTTAGTGTACTTTTTTGACTCTGCATTCCTCAAAACCTAGATTACATGTGATAACGTAAATAATCCACAGAGTTTTCACATTTTCCTTGTCATGTTGGCTGATCCCTCTCCGGACACTAGAAAGAATATTTGCTGTAGTACTTAACAAAGGAGCTCAGCACTAAACACAACGGAACATTTATAGGTTTAAAATAAGATTTGGATCATGTTACAATCCAAATCCCCCTTGGAAGAGTTGCCGTATTAGCAGAAGTTTTCATATAATCTAAAATTGAACATGAACTTAATTCTCAAGAAAGACATGAGTACATATTCTTGAGTATATTATAATTTATCTTTAAAACTTTTTCTCAGTCGTCCCATAAGTATACCTGATGCTGATTGGTTAAAATTAATCACATGTCTACATGCAACAGCTGCACACACAGGGAAAAGCATAAATGTCAGAGTACATATTGGAATAATAAACATGCTGAATGGATCTACACATCCATAATGATTGATGTGCTGATGTAACACATGCCTGCTCTCCATGAATACAATGATGTTGCACATGGTG